TTTGTGTACAGATGTTTGTATGGACATACGTTTTCATTTATCTTAGGTATACCTAACCTAGGAGTAGAATTGCAAGGTCATCTGGTGACCCTATGTTTAACTTTTTTAGTAACTGCCAAACTGTTTTTCAAAGCAGCATTAACTAGTTTTGGTGTCTATAATAAGTGAAGAAGATGGAATTTAGGCAAGACAATCACACTAACTTGAGAAAGAAAGGATTATGAGGATGTGAGTGTCTTAAAGCACACATGGGAAGGAGATCACTTGAGGCTTACCAGAAACTGGAAAGCTGTCATGAGCCAAGGCTGTTCGTATACATTTGTGGATATTGCCTAAATTGAGACTCTGTTCTTATTTGTGGCTTTGCCTCTTGCTACTCTTCGGAAGAACTTAGCCTATATCTTCACACATATAATGAAAGGCAGCAATACATCCTCCCCATTAGTTCTTGAGTTTGGTGTATTCCAGGATCAGACAGTGATGAAGACTGCCTGGCATCTTGTAGCTACAATTCCACATTTCTGAAAGGGAAAAGCTGGCCAATCCTGGTTCAATCAGTCCCAGTCAAGGAGTGAGGACAAGAATAACTTTAAGGACTCCTGTGGGGCAACTCTCAGCATCATCATGGGAAACATATATAAAAGCATTGGAAAAATCAGAGTGCTTGTGAAATGCAAGGTCAAAGTAATGGCTAGCAGGTGCAGAGTTCATGTTTCTCATCTGGATTTGGGGAGCAGATGATGGACTCCAGGTTTGGATGCAGGTGATGATTTGCATGCCTTAGTGGTCAGCAGCTCCAAGTAGGTGGATGGCCCTCCCTTACTTGTATCAATAGATGCCCTGGTTGAGTGGTTATATGCTATGTAAACCTACTCATGGTCTTTATATCTGCACTGCAGAACAGTTCTCTCTGTGCAGAGAGAACACGCTAGCATCTTGATATTACACTAGCCTTTAAGGCAGCAGTCCTCGACATTTTTGGCATCAGGCACTGGTTTAGTGGAAGACAATTTTTCCATGGACTGTGATGGGGGTGAGGGGAAATGCAGTCAAACCTTACTACTAATGTTAATCTGTATTTGCAGCCACTCCCAGTACTAGCATCATTGCCTCAGCTCCATCTCAGATTATTGGGCATTAGATTCTCATAAGGAGAGTGCAACTTAGATCCCTCACATGCACATTTCATAGGGGGGGTTGCGCTCCTATGAGAATCTAATGCTGTTGCTGATCTGACAAGAGGCGGAATTCAGGAGGTCATGTGAGTGATGGGGAGAGGCTATGAAAACAGATGAAACTTTGCTCACTCACCCACCTCACCTCCTGCTGTGTGACCCAGTTCCTAACAGGCCACAGACTGGTACTGGTTCATGGTCTGGGGGTTGGGGACCCTTGCTCTAAGGGGAACTGGGAGCTTTAAAATCCATGACCCCAATATGTCTAATTGTGTCAATAATAAGGCAGAATCATAAGAGGTATACATCACAAAATAGGAGGAACCCTCCGTGAAACCTCTGGCCTCACTCAGCAGAATGTGTTTGAGGGGAACCCCAAAACCCCCCAGAATGTATTGATAAAAGATCGTGTATTTATTCTTACATGTTTAAACTTGTCACCTTCAAAGTACTCTCCATTTGATGTAATACATCTATCGAGATGCTTTTTCCACTGCTCAAAAATGGTTTTTGACCTTGTCAATTTTGATGTCTTTTAGTGTTTCTGCCATTTTTGGTTTCACCTCTTCTACACTGGCAAAATGTTTCCCTTTGAGGACTTTTTTCATGTGGGGAAACAAACGACAACAAAAAAAGTCACTCCGGGCTAGATTGGGTAAGTAGGAAGGGTGGGGCATAGGGTCAGTCGTTTTAAGTCAAAAACTGCTGAACACTCAGCACAGTGTGGGTAGGTACACTTATAAATCATCCATTATGAAGTGGGCAAATGCATCGAAAGAATCACCAAAAAAAAAAAAAAAAAAAAAAACTCCCAAAAATAAAACAAACAAAAAAAACCCCTCACTGAAGTGGAACACAACCTCTCACAACAATGTTAGCTGGTACACTGATGCTGATGGGTTCCTAGAACACTTACCTAGCAAAGGAAGCCTGTACTATGAGGGTTCATCCTCCAAAAGATAATTCTGGTGTTTTAGGGATCCCCCCCATATAACCAGCCTACAGGTACACTTTTTTTTTACTCCAGTCTGGTCCAAAGTTAGTTACTTTTGGGTTAATTTATAGTCTTCCTTGTGGACCCAAGAGGACCCTCCTGGGGTTGTCTACGCACTGCGTCCCCCTTCTCTGCTCACATAGATAAAGGAGAGGGTCCAGTATGCCAGCGAGTCATGGACTTGGATTACGACCTAATAAAGCGTCCAGATTCATCCCTACCATCTCTGTGATCTTGGTCTCTCTTGTTTTCAGTTTCCTCATCTGTAAAATGGGAACAATAATCTCTACTCTAGACATTTGGGGAATCATTTTACATGACAGACTTGATCACCAGTGACATTTAGGGAGAGATGGCATTTGTCTCCTGTCGGCTGAACTTGCCACTGGCCAGTATCTTGATTCAGCATGGTAGACCCAAAGGTTGGATTTGTCCAGCAACAAGTCTATTTCTTTAGGGCAAAGTCCTCTTTGCCAGGCTCATAAAACTGTTAGACACATATACTGCTATACGTTAGAACCAGAATTCTAATGTATTAATTGACATCAAGGCAGGTGTCTGTTACATGGTCCAGACACTTGCATCTCTCTCAGTTGGTACCATCTCCTCCTCTGGCCAGGCCCAGTTGGGAAACCATACACACGCACAGGGGCTAGTTTCAGGGCATCAGCACACAAGGCGACATAGAAGGAAGGAGATGGGGCAAAAGTTAAATGCAATCAGCTATGGAAATCAGATACATCCATCTTATATTAGAGGTGTCAGAGGGACAGGAGTGTCCCACACTTTTTGCTAAGACTGTCATTTTATCTAGGCAGTGCTTGCAGATGTCAGTTGTGTTAGCCTCTCTCCTGCACTCTTTTCTATACTTACAGGGCTAGCCCATCTCCATTCTAGTTGGCATGGCCTTTAAAAAAAGAAATGGCTCAAGAAAAATCAGTACTTTTTTTGAGCAGAAATGGAAAGCATCACTAGATAAAGACTTCCCCATTCTGCTTCTCTTGGGGGAAACTACTCTTACCATTTTGAGTTTTCTCCTTCCATATTCTTTCTTTCAGCTTTCTTTGTTGTTGTTTTTTATTTGAATTAAATTAGACTCTACTAATAAGTGTTGCATTGCAACTTGTTTTATTTCACTTAACAAAGTATCTTGGAGTAATATTGTGTCAGTTGGCATGATTCTATCCCATCTTTTAAAATTGCTGTGTCGTATTCCATTGTATGAACCATAATTTATGTAACTATTCTCCTATTCATGGTCATTTAGGTTAATTCCTTCTTTTGCTATTACATTCAAGACTGTAAAAAATCCTTTAAGTGTCTCTGAATATATGTATTTCTCTAGAATAGATACTGAAACTTGAGGGTCAAAAGATATGCAAATTTAAATTGGTGGTAAATTTTAGTTCTCTACACATTTATTGACAGAGTATGTAAATGCCCGTCCTCTCTTTGGGGACAGTAACCCTTCTGATCAGATTCCAAGTCCTATTAGCTTGGAAGTCAGATCTCTTTTCTGCTCTTTCACATAATGATCTTGAGTTGATTCTCTGCTTGCTGATTTCTCTTATTGCCCAAATATTGGGGGCGGCTGGCGGGGGGTGGGGAGATTCCTGACTACTGACAAGGGAGACCCATTAAGGCTTACAGGAATGATCACAACACTGCCAATATGAAATGATTTCTTATTCCAACTGGAGAGATATGTTAACTGTTATATGTTTACTATGTCATGAATCAAAGGGTAATTTCACGTCCATGTGTTTGGCAACTTGGGTATTTCAGATATCTATGTTTTGTACTTGTGGGTGTAAAACATCTTTTCCTGGGTCCATAATATCCTCCAGACTGGGTTGAGTACACTCTCATCTCAAATTCTGAGAAAGATAGCACATTATCCTCTGCTTTCAAACACAATGTACTTGGGGCTTTCCATCTGGTTTCCATCAGAGCTGTCTTCCGAGGACTGATTTCTACTCAATGACGTGGGGGAATGCCACAGTTAACGGAAAAGGTCTGGGAAGGGGATAAGCACAGATGTCCATGAGCTTTCATCTGTTATAATCCAGAATGAACTGGCACCTGTGAGCAGCCTCTGTTATCGCCCTGTGTCTCCAAAAAGCAAAACCAACTACAAAGTATTAGTTTGTAAAAAATGTTTGACTGAGAGTTTTATGGAGTGATGGAGTTTACATCAAATACTACATAGTAGAGATTAGTCAAAACTTTTCTGTGAGTTCTATGAGATGTCTTTTTTTTTTTTTGAGTCAGAGTCTCACTCTGCAGCCCAGGATGGAGTGCAGTGGCATGATCACGGCCACCACAGCCATGACCTGCTGGGCTCAGGCTATCCTTCTGCCTCAGCCTTCCAAGTAGCTGGAACTACAGGCATGTACCACCATGCTGGCTAATTTTTAAAATTTATTATAGAGATGAGGTCTCGCCAAGTTGCCCAGGCTTGTCTCAAAGCCATGGGCTCAGGCAATTCTCTCACCTCCACATCCCAAAGAGCTGGGATTTCAGGCATAAGTCACCACACCTGGTAAAATATCTTGGTTTTATCTCCCATGTTTGGCCACCAACCACCCTCGGCCATCCTTCCCCCACAACCTTTCTCCTTCTCCACTCCCACCCAATTCTACCCTACTTCCCTTTCTTTATATGAAGAAATATGTCTAGCTTGGTCTTTCCTCTCATCTCCCTGCTTAGCACATAAAGAAACTTCCTCAGCATGCCCTCTCTTCAGAGAACATGGCCCATCCTAGACAATATATGATATTTTCCTTGTTAAATAATTTCTCCTTCACTTCCTATTATCTTTGCTTTTGCAGGTTGTGATTCCGGGATTGGTCATGCTTTGTGCAAGTATCTGGATGAGCTGGGCTTCACGGTGTTCGCTGGAGTTCTGAATGAAAAGGGCCCAGGAGCAGAGGAATTGAGAAAAAGCTGCTCCTCGCGCCTCCTGGTTTTCCAATTGGATATCACCAATCCGGCGCAGATAAAAGATGCTCACAGCAAAGTTGTGGCAACGCTGCAGGGCAGAGGTACTGTCTTTAGCTGCCAGCACCTTTGGCAGCACCTTACCCTCCTTCCAGATGCCAAGCTCTTGTTCCAGCCTTGGATGACCATTTTCCTCCACTCAACTCTGGCTGCTGACTGTACCTGAGCACACCAGTACTGAGCCCCTGTCACATGCACGGACCTCTACAGACACAAAGACCCTAGGAGTGACTCAGACATGGGACTTGTCCTCACAGAACTTACAGAATCCTCTATCCCATTCCCTCCAGCATCCTGTCAGTCACTGTCCCATGAATGACTTCCCCACCTCTCCTCATTACTTTCTCAATATGAGTCAGGTTTTCCCAGCTTGGGAAAAAATACCTTCATAATCACTGTCCTCCTTTACCCACTGCCCTTTCCCTTTTCTTCCTTCCAGGACCATGCTCCTTGGAACCCTGTAGCCCCTGTTTCTACTTCTTTGCCTCTGCTTGGACATTGGCTCTCACCAGACCTCTCCAACTGGTCTGGCAAAGCTAATCGGTATTATCCTGAAGACCAATGCTCTTAACTTTTCTGCAATATTTAAACATGTTGCTCTCACTCAACTCCCTGGCTTTGGGATCCTCAGCCCTTGATTGCTGCTTTCTTCCAGTAAGCTGAATGTGCAGAGGAGTGAAATAGCACATTCTGTTCTAGAAACTCTTCAGAATTTACAAAGTGGACCAGCAGGTATGGCAGATTAAGGGTTTGGCAGGGGCCTTTAACCTGAAAGACCTTCTAATCCTCATTAAGGTGAGAGGATTTTATTTTGGTGGCAGATAGAAAATCACTGAGCCAGTCAATGAGCCATGGGGCAGCTTTCTTTCCTGCTCCTCTCATATGAAGCTCTACCTCCATCTCCCTCCACAGAGGCGGATGCTACAGAGGGTTCCATCGCCCAGCTTCCCACTGTGTGATTCCTGGGCCATACTGTCTTCCCTTATCCAGGGGATTCCCCATCTGGCCACACATTTTAATCAACTGGGGAGTGTTTGAAAATACCGACACTTGGGCTCAGGATGGGCTGCATAACTTAGTGGGTCCAATGCAAAATGAAAATATGGGGCCCTTGTTTAAAAAAAGGATCAAGAATTTAAGATGATGAGAGCAGAGAATTAAGCCTGACATAGGGTTCTTTTGAAGCACCAGGCCTAGTGTGACTGCCCAGATCCCCACCCCGGGAAACTGCCCAGCCTGGGTCCGGGCCCTCACCCCCAAAATTCTATTAGATCAGTATCCCCAAGAATGGGTCCCAGGCATCGGAGTTTTTAAAGCTCACCAGGTGATACTAATGTTAGGCCAGGGTTGAGAAACCCTGAATTATGCCATTAACTCTCATTAAATCCATATCGCCAACATTATTGACATCCGGGCCTATATGTATATTAAATTGTATGCCAGAAATCTTCACTTATATCCCAGAGGCTTCAACTCAACATGTCAGAAACTGACCTCATTTTTTTTCCCCTGTGACCAGTCTGAGTTTGCTCTCCTGCATCTCATGGCTTAGGTACAGTCACTGTCACTTGACCAGTCAGTCATTCAAGCCAGCAACCTGGGAGTCACTGAGACCCTCAGCTTATCTTCGATCTCTGTATCTTGTTGTCGAAGTCTTGTCAGTTCTACCTCCTGGATATTTATCATCTAGCCCCTTCTCCACATCGCCTAGCAGCTATGACTTCGTGCAGACCCTCATTGTGTCCCGCCTGGGCTCTCCCAATGGCCTCCCTGCAACCTCTTTCTCTCTTCATTACTTTCCAGACAGAGAGTAATCTTTACAATGTGCTCATCTTACAATGGTCATTCATCTCCTTAAAACCCTTTGACATACAGAGCCTCTGTGTGTTGGGTTCCTCTCTTGAGGCAGGCCTACGGTGGGTGATTTGCTTTGTCATGGTTCATTGACCAGCTCAGTGGTTTTCTATCTGCCACCAAATACAATCCAAACACCTTAACAAGAATCAGAAGGCCTTTCATTTCATTTCATTTGGCCCTTGCCAAACCCTTATTCTGCAATACCTGCTGTTCCACTTAGTAAATTCTAAAGAGTTTCTAGAACAGAATGTGCTATTTCACACCTCTGCACATCTAGCTTCCTCTTACGGAATTTCCCTCTCACCTCCACTCTCTTTTCCTGATACTCTTGCCTTTGTCCAGTGACAGAGACTACTCCCACAGGAGACCTGGCTCACATATAACATGTCTTGCATGACCTTCCTAGTAATCCATGTTGCTTTATTCACTTTCTCTTCCAGACAGTCACTCATTGTGTCTTGCTTCTACCTCTGTTACTGTATCATTGTAAATATCCATCCATCTCCCACTCCTCGCCACTAGGTTCAGAGAAATAGAACCATATATCTGTCAGGATTCCTTCAGATGTGAGTGACACAATCCAAATCAAAATTGCTAAAGCAAAAAGGGAATATATTTGCTTATAGCATTGAAAAGACTTTTTGGCTTCGGGCTTTGCTGGATCCAGGCCTTTAAGCAATGTCTCTATTTCTCAGCACCTTGCTTTCTTCTGTGCTAGCTTTATTTGAGAAATTTCCATGGAGGCTTCGGGTACTTCTAGCTTACGTTCTCTTTACAGCTGACATTTCCAGCAAAAAAAGAGGAATGGTACCTGCCTGATTTGGCAGATGAAAGACAACTTATTATTTAGAGAGCACGTAAAAGAATCCCTAATATGAGGGAAGCACTCAGTAAAGGCTCCTGTTTTCCATTCGTTCAATATTCAGCAGTCCCTGTCACGTGAGAAATCTTCAGTAAACATCTGATAAATGAGATATGAAGAGAAAAGAAATAGGTTGTTGGAATTAATTTTCAGCAAGTTTAGCAATGTATAATCATTTTCTAGAAAGGCAGTTTTCTTGGCCCAGTCTTTTATTCACTAGTAGAGTTGGGCTTATCCCTTCTATGAGACTTACTTCATGATGTCTTATCCAAAGAGATATTCAATTCAGACCCCTTTAGTGAGGTCCAGAAATGCAGTACTGACCATCTTAAATGATCCAGCAGTGGGTTCTAATACCAGGGCAGTGTCTAGATATGAAGGAGTATGGCGAGTTTCTAAGGAGTGATCCCTACTGTTTTGTGGCCAGCATACGGGAAGGTAGCCCTCTTCCGAGATGGGCCATTCCATCGGTATCCCTCTGCCTGTTTTCCTCAGGGTTTCTTTGAACTTTAACCCCTCAGGTCAGAGAGAAACTGGAGCTGTGAAGAAGCATCACCAAGGAGGATGCTTGCTAAAGAACCATCTGGGACCTGTAGATAAACAGCATATTACTAAATTAGTATGAACATATTGTGAATCATTAATTAATATTAACTGTCGTTGAACTATTATTAAGTCCTACAGGTACAATGGAGCTTATTGGCCAGCTTAGAATTGTATGGCAGGAGTTGAAAAACTATGGCCCTGCCTTGTTTTTTAAAATATTCTATTTTGAAATCATTTGTAGAGCCATACGAAGTTGCAAAGAAATATGCAGGGAGTTCCTATGCACCCTTTACCTAGCCTCCTTCAATGTTACCATTAAACTGACATTGGTACACTCTACAGAGGTTACTTAATTTCATTTATTTGTGCCCTTCAGTGTGCAACACTGCAATTTTATAATATGTATAACTTTGTGCAACACTCTTTGTGGTCAAGAGAACTGTTCCATCACCACCAGACTCTCATGCTATCTTTCATGGCCACATTTCATCCCCAACCCCTAGCAATCACGAATCTGTTCTCTAGCTCTTTATCTTTGTTATTCAAAGAATGTTATCTAGATTGATCACTTGTTTTTGTATGGCCTATGAGCTAAGAGTAGCTTTTACTTTTTTTGAGTTGGAGTCTCACTCTGTCACCCAGACTGGAGTGCAGTGGCCGCTCCCGGCCACTGCAGCCTCAACCTGCTGGACTCTGGTGATCTTTCCGCCTCAGCCTTCCAAGTAGCTGGAACTACAGGCACGTGCTACCATACCCAGCTAATTTTTGATTTATTGTAGCGATGAGGTCTCGCCAAGTTGCCCAGGTGGGTCTCGAACCTGTGGGCTCAGGCAATCCACTCACCTCGGTCTCCCAAAGCGCTGGGATTACAGGCTGAGCCACCGAGCCAGGCCTTTTGTTTTTTTGAGTTGTAGTCTCACTCTGTTGCCAGCCAGGCTCAGTGGCTCCACCTGTAATCCCTGCAGGGAACTCACCTCAGACCTGCTGATTTAGAAGCTGTTGATCAGAAAGTGTTGTTGAAGCGCACATCGGTGATATAACACACCCTCTGTAATCCTGTCTGTGTGTGAGAGTGAGAGCATGTTGCATAGGAGCCAAGTAGGTCTCAGTGCCAGGAAGTAAGGTGACAGCCCAAATAGTGCCTGTCTAATGGCAACAAGGAGGTAGAGGCAGCCAACCATCATGAGGAATCTTTTCTAGTTTAGGAATAAGGAACAACAGGCTCATATCATCCTGCATTGTTGTAAAGATATTATATTGCCTCTATGCACTCTATGCACTATGCACTTGGAGGGAGAAACAGGAAGTTTTGAAACTTCAAAGCCAGCTAATGATCCTTGGCATCCTCCGCTTGCTGGGCCATCTCTTCCCATATGCAATAAACATCTAGCTGCCTGGATGTAGGAAAGGGCTTTGAGGCAATAGAAGGGAAGCTCTAAACAACCTTTGCTTAATATTCTACAAATTTACCCTCCACACAGCTCCTCTAAGCAATTATAGGTATTCAGGGAGACTGGGATTTGAGTGACTTGAGATTTAGCTCCTAAATCTCAAAAGGGCGTGTCTGACTCCTGAACTTGAAATGTTAAAAAATACACTCTCCAGTCTTGTCCATCCTCAAAGCTGTTCCTTTCTGTCCCCAGGACTGTGGGCTGTGGTCAACAATGCTGGGATCATTGGCTTTCCAGCTGATGGGGAACTAATTCCCATGACTGACTACAAACGATGCATGACCGTGAACTTCTTTGGGCCTGTGGAAGTCACAAAGGCATTTTTGCCTCTTCTCAGGAAATCCCAGGGGAGGCTGGTGAACATCAGTAGCATGGCAGGTGAGTTGGCCTTTTCCCACATGGTCATGGGTTGCCCATCGCAAGACATGGCTCACTGCATTCTTTGTGGGTTGAACAAGAAAGCATGGCAGGCAAAGGCAGGGCTGGGCCAGGATGAGTCAAATTGTATAGCCACTGTTAACTTTAATACAACAAGACTTTTCTCTCCTTTCAAATTATTCCATGTATAAACTCTTATGTACCTTCTAATTCCATCTATTCATTGCTGGGACTTTAAGGTTCTCATGCTTCTTCACAAAGCAGCTGCCAACACACAAAATTCCTAGGCTTAAAAAGAAGATCTCACATTTTAAGTAATGTCAGCATTGCTGGCAACCTGTCTTCAACTCTTTGTGAACTTAACACACTCTTTCCAATTCCATCTAAATTGAGTAAGCAAATACCGTCCCTCCAATCACGCTGACAGAGCTCTATGTCTCAGTTGACTGCCTACTAGTGTTTACCATAAGACTGTCCCCAACGGTGTGTAGTTCTAACACAGCTGGATCAGGATATGACATCAGATGATTTGTCTCTCTCCATTTCAAAGAACAAATAGTCAACAACCTGAGTCATGGGCCTAATAATCTCACTTTCCGTAAACAATGTCCATGCATACAATACCATGCCCTTTCTTCTAGGACAGACATTTTTAAACTGTGATTCTTCAGGGCCTTACTCAGCTTTTGTACATGAACCCAGGTCTGTCACTCATTGCCTGTTAGCCAAACTCAAGAAAGTTGGTGGAAGGAAAAATAGGGGTGCTTTTTGTTTGTCAAGTCAAGATCTTGCTCTGTCTCCCAGGCTGGAGTGCAGTGGCATGATCACAGCTCACTGAAGCCTCGACCTCCTGGGCTCAGGTGGTCCTTCGGCCTCAGTCTCACAAGTAGCTGGGACTACATCCTGCTAACTTTTTGATTGTTTGTAAAGATGAGGTCTCCCTGTGTTGCTCAGACTGGTCTTGAACTCCTGACTCAAGCAGTCCTCCTGCCTAGATCTCCCAAAGTACTGGAATTACAGGCATGAGCCACTGCCCCAGCCCAGCCCTAGGTTTTATTCAGGAGCTGGTAACCTGAGAGGATGGCAGACTAACATCACAAAAAGACCAACTCAAATTCTCAGGCTGGTTCAAGGGTTCTTTTTATTTTTGAGTTGGGGTCTCACTCCGTCGCCCATGCTGGAGTGCAGTGGCACACTCACAGCCACCTCAGGATTGACCTGTTGAACTCTGGTGATCCTTCCATCTCAGCCTTCCAAATAGCCGGAAATACAGGCATGAACTCCCACTTCCAGCTAATTTTTGATTTATTGTAGAGACAAGTAGCCTGGGCTGGTCTCGAGCCCACAGGCTCAGGCAATCCATTCACCTCAGTCTCCCAACTGAGATTACAGGCTGAGCCACCGAGCCCGGCCGGTTCAAGGGTTCTTAAAGGGAATTATGGTATGGGAAACATGGGGTGTGGCACAGAGTGCAGGTCTGTGTGTCTTGTTTGATGACATCTTGAGTGGTGGTCCTCCTGGAGGTCTGGTTGATGTTTTCTTGGCTGCAGACAGATTATGGATTATCCATCTCATGACTCCCGCAAAGTGGGAGGAGGCTCCACAATCAGAACTCTGTTCCTGGTCTGTTTTAAGATTAGCCTCCGGAATTCTTAAGCAAGCATATGCTCAGACAAGCATGCATTATGGAGGATGGGGGAAGAAGGGACAACGAAGAAGGAAGGAAAAACGTTTTTTAAAAAAGTGGGTGGTAAAAAAAAATAGTTCAAGGCAGAATTTTGGGTTATATTTTGAGAAACATCCATGGGCTTGTCTGCCTGGTAAGAGGAAAGCCAAAGAGGTGGGCTCTGAATGTGAGGATCTTGCTTTCAAGAAGAGAATATCATTCTTCGCTGCTGGATCAATTAATTCTACATAAGATTTTTAAAAACAAAGGGTCTAACTAGGTTTTCTTTGGTTGGTTTTTGTGATTTTTGCATGTGTGTGGGTTTTTGTTTTGTCTTTTTGTAATGTGAATAATGGTTCTAGAAGACTTTCTTTTGGGGGGTTCTTTGTATTTCCCAGGCAATTATTGTCGTCCATCATATTATTTTTCCTGGATTTAACTCACTAACGTCCTTAAAACTAACTGCGATGTGTCTTTGACTAGACTCATTGCTTGGCCTGAGGCATAAGTAAGAGAGGGCGGGCACAAAGGAAGGAAGGGGCAGGGGAGAGAGAGTGAGAAAGGGAGAAAGAGAGAGGAATTTCTCTAGGATGGATAAGATCATTGAGTATTATATTTTAGTTTGTATGAGAACCCCAACATATTTCCAATTTCTGAAGTTTGCTGAAACCAATGAGTCCTGAAGAAACACCCATGCATATCCTTATCTTTTTTCTGAATTTAGCCTTTACATTTTTGTCTTCTGTGAAAGCCTCATCTTTCCCAGTTTCCTGGAACAGACTGATACATCTGGGAAAGTCTCACACACTCCTTGCCTCACTCATTCATTGAATATTTACTAAAATAACAGATCATTGCCTTCTCCTTGGCACACTGACAAGAATGTTTTTCTCTTTTCTCTTTCTGTTCACGACTTCAAGAAACTCATTCGCGCACATGATTTTATTTTAGTTATCACTAATGTGCAGAGTATGTGCTGTAGACCAAATGTCTGGCATGTAGTAGCACCTCAATGAATGAATGAAGAAATGTAAGTGTGTGAATGAGTGAAAAATGAAAAATGGTTGAATGGATGGGTGAGTGAAGAATTTTCAATGTAGAGAATGCCCATCCTTGTATCTTCAACTTGGCCTCCAAAGCTCTTTCTAAACCAGAGTTTCTTTCCCTGTTGTCATGTATTTCCATTGAAGGGAAACTTTGAGAGTTAAAATAAATCACACATCTCACTCTTATTCTCACCCCTAGTTGTACAGTTTTTGTACACTGGCCTTACTATTTCCATTCCATTTTTTTTATAGGCTATTTACCAAGTTGGTACGTCTGAAACCAAACGTGCCATCAGCCCTCCAAAACTTGCTCTCTTGACTTCTTTTTTGTCCTTCTGTTCTTTTAAGTTTTAGAACTTTAACCATAAAAAGAGTGAAATGTTGTCCTTTGCAGCTGGAGACCATCATTCTAAGTGAATTATTATAGAAATGTAAAACGAAATACTGCTTGTTCTCACTCACAAGTGGGTACACACAGGCACCAGGATGGGAATAAAAGACACTGGGCACTGCTAGAGGAGGGAGGTAGGGAAGGAAGATATGGGATACAAAACCACCCACGCTTACCACTGGGAGGTAGGGGCGAGGTGGGTTCATTAGAAGCCCAAACCTCACCTCCAAGCAATATACCTATGTAACAAATTCTCACATGTACTCCATGATTCTAAAATTAAAAAAAAAAGTGTATAGTGTTAGCTTTACAAAAAAAAACTTTCAGAGCTCTGAGCCTTCTTGGATTTGTTCCTCTGTGCGCCTCTCTCTTCTTTCTCCTACCCGCTTACTGAGATGTGTGGAGTCTTCCTTTATCACATCCAACTTTGAATCACGATGTCCCAGAGAAACTCATTTCTAGAAATAAGTTTATTTCTAGGACTCAGAAACCACCCAAGATATTTTACAAAGTTAATAAAAGAGTGACAAGAGGTCAGAAGAGATGGGAGTCATATGTGATCAACAGGACAGGGAGTTTGTAAGAAGACAGAAACAAAGCTCTTAAATGATGACTACAGTTTCCCTCTGTTTGCTAGGGCTGCCATAAGAAAATACCACGCCACTTCCTGGCTGGGTGACAATCATCTGGAATTCCCAAAGTCACATGGCCTCTTGAAGCTACACTTTTCTCCCCATAAAGTGGAGAAAATGTGAGACGGGAGGCATATGTACTCCATAGGATGGGGAACTTCTAGGAAGACAGAAACACAGCTCAAATGATGACTACAGTTTCTCTCTGTATTAATTTGCTAGGGCTACCATAAGAAATACCACATACTTAAACATCAGAAACTTCTTTTCTTATAGTTCAGGAGGCTGGAGGACCGAGGTCAACATGCCTGCAGGATGAAGAGGAAAACATATGATCACATAGGGTTGTTTGGAGGCTTAAATGAAATAATCCACGTGAAGTTCTTAGCATGTGTAGTATGGAGTCCCTAAAGGTTATTAGTTATTATTATTCCTATTAATGGACTCTGCCCTGTGTCCCTTTTGCTCTTTCCCTTTGAGCTCCTTGAAAAGCTGGGTGATTTGTAACCTCCATTTCTTGACTATCTTGTTAACTCATTAAGGTTTGATTTTTGGGTTTTTCCTTAAAGACTGACTGCTCAGTTCCCTGGGCCCACTTGCCACTTCTTATCCTCCTTGCTGTCTCTGTCAGGTAGAGTTTTCGTACCCTTTCCCAATCTTCTCCCTGTTTGTCCAGCCTCAGTGAGAAGTTCCATGTGCCTCTAATTTGCACAGAGGCAGTCAGCACAGGAAAGCATGTGTTGCTTAAAAGGATGTTTGTCTGGAAGTTCAAACTCCCAAAAGATGTTCTCCTCAAAAAGTTTCTTTGCAAATTTGTGAATGAATGTGCCACATTTTGTTTATCCATTCATTGGTTGATGGACATTTGGGTTGTTTCCACTTTTGGACTATTATGAATATGCTTCTATGAACATGTCCATACAAGTTTTTTTGTGTACACTGTACATTTTATGTAAGAGTTAGTTATTATTCCTATCACTTTCTGTGTCCTTGGGAAAGTCTAAATTTTCTGCACTTTAGTTTTTTCATTTTTTAAAATGTGGTTGATGAGGATAATAATAGAACTTACCTCCCATGAGAGTTTTGATCTTTAAATTACATTTAGAGCTGATGTTAAAATATTCAGAAAAGTGCCTGGCATATAGTGGATATCTAATAAAGATTCATAGTTATTATGAAGCATTTACTACATTTCAGGCATTTATTGGATGCTATCAGATATATGATTGCAGTAAACTATATAATATTAGTATCTCATTTTGCAG